CATCATCTGTTCTGGTAAGAACATGGGTCTAAAGGTTCTTGGAGATGTGTACAATCCTTGAATATAATATAAGTTCTTGGCTGCTGTGGGTTTGCAGCAGTTACAGCAGTGCAGTGGTGATGGTCTCGTCTCTCTGAGTATGAAGCTCATTCTACATGTTGTTGTCATCTTAGTAAGATTTCCTCTGCGTTGTATCCACAAGAAGGCTTCCGTTTTCTTTTAGTACTCTATATATTTTACAATTTACGTTTCTGTGGTTCTCTTTGCAAAACTTGCAGATAAACATTCTTCGGGATGATCCTTGTTGATTATTCCAGTTTTGATTGCTTGAGTCACTGTGGGATTTTCTCGTATTATAGTTTGATTGGTCTGGTCTAATTTTGTCCAGACAATCTCTCGATTGGTGGCCTTTTTTGTTGCACGAAAAGCATTCTTGGTCTGGACAATATCTATTCGTGTGTCCTTTTTGGTGGCAAATTCCGCATGTGAATTCCCTAGTGCTTTGTCTCTTTAGGATTGCTTCCCGTTCCTTTTCAAATTTTTCTTCGGTGTATTCATTAAATGCTTTCGTTATCCTTTCAACGATTGGTCTTGGTTCGTTAAATTCTTCCTTTGTAATTTCTTGGAGTTCTTGGTCTTTGATTCGACAGTTATGTTCTTCGGGGTTTTCGACAAGTTCATCGCACCATTTACAGTAGTTTGGTCCTTGTTGGGTCCATCCATTAGATTCGTTTGGGTTCATTTTAATTTTTCTTCAACTTTTGATTTTAATAATTTGTATGCTATCGAGGTGGTTCCGTTTAAGTCTTTAATTTCTTTAATTAGTTTCTCTTTTTCTTCGATATAAGTTAGAGTTTTTGACTCAAATATTTGTTTCTTTATTGCTTCAATTGTTTTTTCTATTTTTTCAGAATTTATATAATTCTTGTTCTCAGAGTCTTTTTCAATTAATTTGTTGAGTTCTTTTATTGTTATATTGTATAATCTTCTTAGTTCCTTGCCGGGTTTTCTGTTGTAGTTGCAGTCATGTGAGTTATAATATCTCCAGCCTAAATTACAATTGATGCAATGGTGTAATGCGTCTTTGTAAAGTTGTTTTCTTAACCAATTTATAGTATCAATTTTCTGGTGATAATTTCTAATCCTGTTTTGTTCTTCGAACGTTATCTCTTCAAAATATTTTATTATTCTTTTTTGTTCTTCTTTAAACGTTGGTTCTTCTGATTTCGCGTTTCTTATTTTTGTTAATATCTCTTCTTTCTTTCCTTTGTTAATTAAGTTTTGGTCTTCTTCAAGTTTTTTAATTACTTTGTCAATTAATATTCCAAGTTTACTTTTAGTTATTTCTGCCTTGGTCGATGATAATCATCAGCAGATTTTTCAAATAACATGTACACTGGATGCTTTACTATAGCCTGTAACTCTTTCATAATTTGTTCGTCGAGTCCTTTAACTAAGTTATAGGCTTTCGTTGCCTATTTCATCAAGTCTGGTTCATTTTCTAGCAATTAGTTAAATCTTAAGTGCTTTATCATACTCGTTTATAACAAAATATATCTTCCAGGTGGCTTTTTTCTATTGAGTTGTTAATTCATCTGTTAAATTAGCAAACAAATTTTCATATCCACCTTAATGAAATAAACTTTTTTAATGCTAATGCGGATTTTTTTTATTTGTCACCATTAGTCATATAACAATATCGTTTGAAATTTTTACGGGGACTCAAAAAATTTTCCACATCCTCTTTTTAGATACACAATCTCGGGATATATGTCCCACCCTTTTACATCTAAAGCAAGTAATATTATTACTTGTCTTATTTCTGGGGTCACAGGAGTATCCTTAGTTAACATAGACTGGGGCCCATATTATCTCCTTTTGCACAACTTTCATAATATTCTCCCACTTTAGTCTGCCTTGCACTTTCGATTGCATCCTCAAGGTTCTTCGGGGCCATAAAAGCAATGAGCTTTGCGATTGGACCCTTTAAACCTTTCAAAAACCTTCAGATTACATAATCATTTGGCAAGTTTGCTCTTTGAGTTACTCATTTAACAGTATTTTAAAGGTAGTGGCGTAGGCGTCCACCTTTTCATCCTCCTTTTGGGCCAAGGTATCCCACTCGTTTTGCCGTCTACACAATTTTTCGAACTGGTGGTAAACCATTTTCTTTCTTCTTCTTTGTTGTTCTTCTACCAATTGATGTTGTGTTTACATTCTTTATATCATTCGGATGCTATTCCATTCAACTATCCTGATGCGATTTGTATCTGACGAATTCCGGCCCAATTATTTACATCGGTGCCTTTCCAAACTCCTCTAACCATGAATACTTTGAACTGATCGGCATCCATTTCGCAAAAATATTTAGTTATACTTAAGGATAGTTAGAAGTCCAGTATCTCACAGTAATTGTTACGGGGGTGAATCATACGTTCGATAATTTATACTCTAAAATTATAGATTTTATGTTATAAGGCAACTCGCCAGAGACGTGACGTTGGTGATTTGGGTTATATAATATTAGGTGAATTATTATCGAGTTAGTGAGCTTATAAGTGTCGTAACCTTTTTATAACACTTAAAAGACTAATGTGGCTTAAACATAACTCGCTTTATTTTATAATAACATGATTTGTTACCGGACGATAAAATTCCATAAATCATCTAAACCTCCTGCAAACCAGTTCTATATTTATGGATCCGAGTACAGTATTGCATAAGATTAGTTAACATACCCTAATCTGGATTAGTTTGAGGCGTAGCCTATTGTGAACAATCGTATGACCCCAATAATTAAAGAAGAAAGCCATGTATAAATTACGGAAATTAGTATGAAATATTCACTATTAATCATCGAATCTTTCGAAATGCTCACATAGAATCCCCCAAAGTACTCACTATTAGTCCTATGTGATATGGCCAAGTAAACTTTAATAAAATGATTGTCGGTGAAGCAAGCAGCACCGTGCAAGGATACACCTCTAAATACACACGCTGGTGGCCAGGCACATATTTGCACTTAGAAATAATATACACTGTGCCAGTGTTAGCAATTTTACTGGCCAAAGAAGTTTTGGTCAATTCTGAAAGTTCATATATTTTTTTGTCCAAAAAGGCCAACAAATTTGGATTGGCTGACATTGTATACATTTAAAGAAATGTATTGTGTAATCATATCAGATTAAGTGAACGTTTTTTAGGGGACAATTGCAATAAATTAATAAATAAAATAAAGAAAATTGATATCTCAACGCCTTTTTTTTGATGATGCCACACACCCGCCTATTATTAAATTTTTACAATTCTTTCGAAGATATCTCGACATCCATCTGATCAAATTCAATGAACTTTTTTTTTTCTTTGGATTTCACAACCTTCTACAATTCAAATAAAAAAAGGTTCACCGAATTTGGTCAGATGCATATCGAAATATCATCAATCAAATTTTTTTGTAAATTTTAACGTCTATAGAAACTGCGTTGCAGATTGTTATGAAATTTTTATCGAAGTTATCTTAGACATTTACCTGACCAAATTCAACAAGCCTTTTTTTCTTTGAGATCTACAACTTTCTACAATTAAAATAAACAAGACTCATCGAATTTAGTCATGTGGTTGTCGAGATATCTTCGATTAAAGTATTGTAAATTTAACGTTTACGTATAAGCCACGTTGCAGATTGTGTAATTTTGATCGACATCTGATTAAATTCGATGAGCATTTTTTTCTTTAAATTCTATAGATTTACGCAATCAAAATAAAAAGCTCACCGAATTTGGTTAGGTTTTGTTGAAATACCCTCGGCCAAAGATTTTGTAAATTTTGAACGTCTATCAAATTCGGTGAACTTTTCTTTAAATTCTACAGATTTTTACAATTAAAATAAAAAAGTTCACCAAGTTTGATTAGATCTTTGTCAATATATCTTCAATTAAAATATTTAAAAAATTCAAAAAATTAGAATGATCGGCGGGGTGTGTCATTATCAAAAAAAGTGTGTGGAATTATTAATTTCCTAATAAATGGCGCATTTAGAAAAGATATATAATTATAGAAATTGGATTATATTGCAGTCTGACCTCTCTAAATGCACCCTCTAAGGACTAAGTTTTAAATTAAGTGCATTTAAAGAACGATAAGAAAAAGTGCATTTATCGAGAATATATTTAGGCCAAGATTTGAGTGTGCATTTAAAGAAATCGAGTGGGTATATTCAGAGAGACTTCACATTTATTAAAACGCGGTTTACACTTATGTATACATTATCTCAATAATTAGCAGATTAATTGGCACGTGGTCCTCTAAATAAAATTTCTATGCTCTTAAAACCCATCCTGAACTTTAAATATATTAACCGGCCTGAAAAAGTTGAATTAAAAACTTTTATATACGGACTTATAAGAACTCAAAAAAAATAAAAATGATAATAATAATAATAATACTAATAATAATAATAAAAATAAAAATGATAATAATAATAACAATACTAATAATAATAATAATAATAATAAACATAAAATAGGAGCAAAACCAGTCATAGGTACATTTTATAATAAATGCATATATATTATTTTATAATTAGTATATGTTTTTTCGTTATATTATAGTATGTCTATATATTATTTTATAATTACTGCATTACTGTATATTATTTCGTTCTTTTATAACATGTTTACAATACAAATTATAAAAATTAGCTGATATAATTGAATTAAGAATCTTAAATTCTGGGGTTAAAAGGATTAGCAACACATAACTTATTGCTTTTATACGTATCAAGGTACAAGACACATCTATTATTTCTCCGGACAATTTGCTTCAAACTATAATTTAGGGCTATGTTTCTAATTATTAATATTTAATTTATACCTTACAAATTTGTTGTTACCGTAAATTCTTGAAATAACGCTCAGCGTAAAATTAAGAAATTTGGCCTAAATTAAGCTTAATTCTGGTCAAAACTCAAAATAACGCCCATGCCCGCTATTTTAAGAATTTATGGTAAAATGATATTTTATCTAGTTGGTACGAATTATTTATTATGTTAGGACAACGTTGAGAGTTAGATCGGTTCCAATAAACATACTTTGAGTTTTTATTTTGGTGATATTTACGCGGCACATTTGTAAAATACCCTAAAATTTGAAAAAATTTGAAAACCAATAGTGAATCAATTTAATTTGACTATTATGAAGTTAACATTTTGTCCCATATCAAAGTATATTTATTATTAATCAATTCAAAATAAACCCTCAAATTTTTGCACCCAGATCTATAGCAATAAAACGTCTAAACATCTCTCCATTATATCTAAATTTCCTTTAATACGAATAAAATAGCATAAAATATTGTTGATCAGCAAATAAAAGCACTTATAGAAATTAGCAATAAACTACAATACTTTCAAATGGTACAAATTTAACGTATGCTTCAACCGCTTCAACGTCATCTTTAAAATCCTTATTCAAACTCCAAATATTCAAGCAATCCAAAGTTCCGCTTCGTTTGCAGAATTCAATTAGCGCTTTAGTATTTTTCTCCCTAATAAGGTTATTAACTAACAGGCTTTTTAAAGGTGCATTGCAATTATCGAACAAAATATCTATATATAATGGTGGCCAAGTGTTATTATCTAAGTTAAGATATTGCAATGTTAATGGCAATATTTCTGCAAACTGCTTAAATCGTTCCTTTTCCGGTACATTAGTAATGTTTCGTAACGTGAGGAACTGAAGTTTTTGTAAATTACCAATAATCTCTATGAGTTGCGTGGAAAGCCCAAAATTTGCAAGATTAAGATATGTAATGTTTGGACAGAAGGACTTAAGTGCACCTAGTAAAGTCTCTTCCCAAATATCAATATCTGCTAGTATAAATCTTAATCTCTTCAGTAATAAGCGTTGCAGTAATATACCGGACTCTTCTAAAATTTTTACTATAGTCGATGCATCAATCGAGCAATTGTCTATCTCCAAAGTGCTGACTTTATAATTTAATTTTTTCATCAATTCTTCATTTTTGCAATGCCTGACACGAAGAATTTCCAAATTTCTACAATTTTTCAGTACCTCAAGCTCATCGCTACAATGACTACCTTCAATTATAAATTCTTGTAATGTATTATTTTGACACTCTAAAGCTGAAATTGTGCCATAGAATTTTGTAGGAAATTCGAAACAAGATAATCTAAATCTCCTAAGTTGCTCTTGTGATTTAATAATACGTATAAGAGTATTAAATAATTGTGGTTGATACCCATTCCAAAATCCACCAATTTCCAAAGTACTAATATTCATAGCATTTTTCGCCAAGATTTTCAATAATGGAGTAACAAATTTAATGATGGTTCGGTTTGGTAGTGTTCTCAAATATAAATCTTGAAGTCGTGAGAAAAATTGGTTGTTTTCTTTTAATGAGCGAAAGATCTCTGATTTAATTCTAAAAAAGTGAGAAAATTTTAAAACTAATTTATGCAAAACGGCGCCACTTTCGATAAATAATTTAAGTAATAAATTAATTATGCGATTTATCGGTACGTCGTAATTTGGTTCTGAACTCAATGAGTTGTAATCTTGATCCGAATTCTGTGAATCGTAATCTAATTCCAAATTCTGTGAGTCGTGATCTAGTTCTGTATTTTGTGAGTCGTAATCTAGTTCATAATCTGAGGAATCATAATCTAGATCTGAATTCTGAGAGTCGTCACCTAGCTCGAGGTTATACCATCTTTTAACCTCTGAATCTAAACTATTTAGATCAAGAACCTTTAGGAATCTTGCATAATCAAATAGTGTTTTGGAAAATTTTGCATTTATTCTACATTCTTTTAAACTGAGTTTTTCGTCCTCATCAAGAGACGAGAAGTATTGAGAAATAAATAATGGGCTTGATCTGGATTCTCTTTTGCTTTGATTAATTGAAAATGGATCTTGCCAAAGAATAGGAATTGCTATTTTGCACCAATGTCGGTTTACAAGTGCGCAAGAGTATAAGGAATCAAAATCATAATTAAAATTATTGAGAATAGCTTCCAATAATTCGGGCATATCGCCCGTAAATATTTTTGATGCCATAAGTTTTTGTATTAATTAGAAACGTAAAAAGATCTTTAGGAAAGATGTTAGATCCGTCATTGTTATGTCATAGCCCTTAAATAGGGAAATGCATCAATCAGGTGATTATTCTAATAAGGTAACTGTGTGACACTATCACGCGAAATCAAGTCGATCAGTTTACTGTAAATTTTAAGAGTAGTTAATATTAATTATGCGGAATCTGCGGTGCGCAGTATGAAAATTCATTCCGCAAGCAAAATTTTCTTGAAATCTGCGGGATTTGAATTTTATTATGTTTACAAAAATTATTAAGCCTTTCCGCATATTGAAACAAATGACTTACTTTAACTTACTTTAAACGGCAAGCCATCGTAATACGTAATGGTCAATAACTTTTTTTACAAATAATTTGGATTTTTTAAAATCATGATAGGCCACATCAAAAAAGTTAACGGAACCATCCCTCCACATTTCATTTGATCTTGTTATAAATTATTTATGAAACTTATAAACCATATAAGAATTTTATTTTTTTGTTACCGAATTTTAATTAAAAAATTGTATGTAAAATTTTCATGTCACTTATTAAGGCTCAAAGTTGAATGGTTGGCTAACGTCATCCCATTTCGGCTAATTGTCATCCTTGCATTAAAACAAACCAATTGTACATAACCGTAGTTAATCAGTTAAGACCTAGCGATGTAAACTTAATTTAAAAGAATCATTGCAAAAATCGAAAATTACAGTAGTTTCTGTTTATTTATACTAGAATTATTATAGCCTACGATAAATAATTTTAGAATTTTAAGTATAAACTACCAGTACATATATTATTTATACCGAACTATTGTGAAATTTCAAAATTTTGAGCTCGTTATATCCAGAGTCGACTGTATTATCATAAATAATTCGTATATCAAAAAAAATAAATAAATAAAATAAAAGAATCTTAAAAAATAACAAACATAAAAAACATAGTCTACCAAATGATTTTTGCGGATGCAGCGGATTCGCATCAAATGAATAATCACGCGTCAGCAGGAAGCTTAAGATTTATCTGTTCGCTATCATCCATTTTAGATAATC